CGCAAAACACGCCCCAGACCACCGGCATCACGCAAACATTTGGACCCCCTACGTATCTGCCACGACCCGCGAGCGACACCGCACCCTCACACAAGACGCCGCTGGCCAGAAACTCCTGGCCTCGAACCAAGGGGTCGGCGGATGTGGCGTAAGCCTGTAGAATCACTATTATTAACAGCATGAACGATTGTAATAATATTGTTATTCTTATGTTGTTCTTAATGTTGTGATAATCATTGTAATATTATTGTAATAATATTGTATTATGATTATCATATTATTGTTCTTAATCTTACTATTAGTATTAGTATTACGCTTAATCTAATTTTTCTTTTTCTTCAACAATGACCAGCCTGCACAACGTGATCATCCAAATGCTTATCCCTGCGCAGGGTCACGCGGCCCGATGCCAAAAATGCTACCTGCTCTGCACGGGACGCGCTTCGCCTGGACGGCCGCGACCCAAGTCCGCCGCGCAGCAGCGACGGCGCGTCGCAGACGACCCAAAACACGAAACCCGACGGCGTCTCACCGCTCGCCCGCTTCGGGCAGTCGCGACTTCGACGCGGCCGCGCAGGTTGGGGGAATGCATTGCGGATGATTCGCTGTTCGAATTGTGGGGCATTCGAGATCATGTGGCCAAATGCCGTCGGGGACGTCGGGGCCCCTTTCTACTGATCAATCCGCGGAGTGCGCCGGACGCTCGAGCACCTCGGGGTCGCGTGCGATGCCTGCCGTGGACAGGCGCGAGCAGGGCTGGCGTCAGATTTCTGCCGGGCCACAAAGACGCAGCGCACCTTATACTCCTAACGCGGAGACATACGCCGACGACGCGTGGCCGTCAGCATCGTGAATTTCTGGTGCGCCAGATGGAAACGCTTCTTCTGCCGTTGGCTTTACGGCGACGGTGCGGCCACTGACTGGTCCGAAGAGGCGTGGCCACTCGTGGAGCCCACCGAGCTGGCTGCAACGGCAGCCAAGAGGCCCTGCCGCCGCTCGCAACCGCATATCGAGGGGACGCGGCGCGCGGCGCCCGAGTGACCAACGCGATGCTCTCGCCCTGGAGCAGAGGGTGAGAACAATCCCCAAGCTTTTCCGAGACGCACAAGCAGCCTCCGGGGGCCTCCAGGGGCCCCCGGGCCCCCGGAGGCCCCTGGAAACAGCGCGCTTCCGCCGGCGACGGCGGCGACGGCGACGACGTGGGTGGCGACGGCGACAGCCGGAGCTCCCATGGAACTCCGCGGCCAGATGCTGGTTTCCGGAGGCTGCCCAGAGGCCCCCAGTGGCCGCGCCTCCGATGCAGCCACAAGCCACGCTCGGCCGCCCAGGTGGGCACGGGCCCGCGGGGTTCCCAGGGTGCCCTCGCGGCGCAGGACGATGCGCAGGCCTCGCGCCGATCACACAAGCTCGGCGCTGTGCTGGCGCTTGCGGAAGGCCCCCGGGGTGATAGGACGCTCCCGAAGGCTGAGGGAGGTTCGCCCGGGCTCCGGGCCGGCGCCGTGGGACGCTGGGAGGTCCGGGGCGCTCCTGAAGACTCTGGCGGGCTCTCCGAGCTTTCACGGCCACACGTGGACCTTAAAGGGCCCTGGAAACGACAGGGCCGTTTTTTTACCGGTTCCGTTTTGCCGTTTTCTTGCCGGCTCCGACCCCGTTTTTTACTGGGTCCGTCGCCGTTTTTTGACCGGTTGCGGCTCCTGCTCCAATCCTGGAGCCGTTTTTGGGCCTTTTCCGGTTGCCGTTTTTGTGCCGTTTCCACTATCAAGGGACACTGTTTTGGAAACAGTGAAACAGCCGCCCTGCCGTTTCCGGGGCCCACAGAGACGTGGACTGCTCGGACACTGACCTTCCAGAGAGCTATTTTTTAGGACGGGAGGCCTACAAACTTAAAAAACGAAACGAAACAGCCTAAAACCACGACATAGAATAGCTCTGGGAAAGGTTTTTAAGTCGCGTGCTATCTTTTTGCCCTCCTGGAAGTTCAGGGGAGGCCCCCGGAATGCCCTTGAGGCGGTCTGGGTGGGCCTCGAGGCGCTCGGGAGGCTGCGGGCGGCCTGGAGGCAGCCTGTCAGAGGCGGCTTCCGGCGGCTGCGCGTGCCCGCCGTAGTACGGTGCGGGCGGCGCGTCGCGGGGAGCCCTCCTGCGGAGGCGCCCGCCAGAGGACGCCCGCTGACCCTCCGGGGACCTCTCTGGAAAGCCAAGTCCAAAAACTCATGTCTTTTTCTCCGTCCGAAGCAATGTGTGAGAAATGGCACGATGATACCGGAGAAGAACCCCAATCAGATGTCTGTTGGAGCAATGGGGCTATATGGGCTGTATGGCTATAGGGGCATAGTGGTATAGGGCTATTGGGCTATAGGGGCTATAGAACCTTAGGGCTATAGGGCTGTAGGGCTGTAGGGCTATAGAGCTATAGGGCTATAGGGCTATAGGGCTCTAGAGCTATAGGGCTCTAGGGACCGAAGCAAGATGTGAAAAATAGCACGATATTTCGGATCCGTTTGTACAGCCGAGGTTTGAATCAGTTTCTGGCTTTGGTCCTGGGTTTCGCTCCGGCGGCCCCCAGGGGGGGTGGCTTGGGGATGAAACATGGGGCGCCCCCGGGACGGTTTCTGGATGAATCCCGGGGTGGCCCCACGTATTACCAGCCTGGAACATACCCCTATCCCTAAGCTGGGCACCGCCTCATCACAATGCCAATCTTAGGGATTCCCATAGTTTTTCAGGGAGCATCCCTAAGATTGTCATCGCCTTTTGGCGTGTCTTTTGGCGTGTCAATCTTAAGGATAGGGATAAGTTCGAGGCTGGTGAATATAGGTCTTTGGATGAATCCCAGGGGTCCACTGTCGGCCGCTGGGGGCCGCTGCCCGTGGTCGTGCTCGAGACCCCGCGCGCGGTGGCCTGCGCGCGGTGGCCTGCGCGCGGTGGCCCGCGCCGCGCGGTGGCCCGCTCGTGGTCGTGCTCGAGTCCCCGTGCAGATCCTCCTCCCTCGTCGCCCTCCTCCCTCCTCGTTCTCACCCCCCCTCGTTCTCCTCCCCCTTCGCCCTCCTCCCTCCTCGCCCTCCCCGTGCTGCTCCGTCGTCGGCCTGCGCCCTCCTCGTCCGCCTCCGTTGTCGCCTTCCCTCCTCGTCCTGCTCGTCCTCCTCCTCCCCGCCCGGTCGTCCTCGCCCTCCCTTGTCCTCACCCCTCACCATCCTCCTCCTCCCTCCTCCCTTGTCCTCCTCCTCACTCCTCCTCCCTTGTCCCTCACTCCTTCCTCCTCCTCCTCCCTTGTCCTCACCCCTCACCATCCTCTTCCTTGTCGTCCCCTTCCTTCCCGTCCTGTAGGCTACTTTCTTCGGGACGCCACCGCCATCTGTGCTCCCTCCTTGCCGCACCCCTATCCCTCCCCAGCTCCCGCTCTCCGCCAAGGTAGGCGTTCGGCAATTGTCAGGGCTTCCTCCTGGCCGTCATCCAGCACCCTGCTGCGCCCTGTGGCACCCTCCTCCTGCTGCCCTCCCTCGTGGAACCTGGTCGGGAGTCGGGAGTTGTGCGGCATACGTGGGACCTCACCCTGACCGCTCCTGCGCGCCCCTCCTGCTGCTCCTCCTCCCTCCCCCCTTTCCGCCGTGTAGATTGTAAGCATTCGGCGGTGGACAAACCTCCCTTTAGTAAACCTCCCCTTGGTGAGAACGACCTGGGACCGAAACCGACGGACCTGGACCCGCAAAAATGACGGCCGCGACGCCCCCTCGCGAACCGAAAACGGACAATTCCTTAATCGACGTGTCAGGGTAGGAGGTCTGTCCACCCCCGAAGAATAGGCTCGGCATCCGTTGGACCCCATCTTCCTCCCGCCTCCGCCCTCGCTCCTCCCTCCGGGACGCTGTGCGGGAGTGTTCGGCATGGGTCCCACGCCATGGTGCTCCCCTTCCTCCTCCGTCCCCCTCGTCCTCCCCCCCGCCCCTCTCGGCAGGTGTTCCGATGTTTCGCCACTTGGTGGACCTCCTCCACCTCCTCCTCCTCCTCCTCCTCCTCCTCCTCCTCCTCCTGCTCCCTCCTCCTGCTCCTTCCTCCTGCCCCCTCCCCCCGAAGTTCTCCCGACATGTTCTGGGGGCTAGAGTTCAGCGGCGGTCCCCGAGTCCATTCTTGAGGAATGCCAGGCAGTGCCAAGCAATGCCAAGCTACGCGAACAACTGCAAAGAGCTGCCAAGCAACGACAACCATTGAGCGTAGGGGGCGCCGGACACTGGCGCGACCTTTTTCACAGCTAGAAACCATGGCATTGCGAACGCGAGGCCGGCGCGACACGCTAGTTGGGACCATTGAAGAGGTCAGCTCCGAGAGCCTTGAAATAATCCCAGAAACTAAAAGTAAAAAACAAGCATTGCATGTATGACTCACTGCTCCTGGTCAGAGTTGTTTCTTCTTCGATAAAAACCACACCGTGCTTGAGTAGGGGGCAGGATCAGTCAACATCGTATCGGGAAATCGGATTGAATCAGAATGTGCATCGAACCAGGTCACATCAGCATGGAGTCGAAACCGAATCGAACCGGCCGCACAAGCATGGAGTCGAGACCAAATCGAACCGGCCGCTCCCTCCTCGCCCCGCCTCCCCCGTCTCTTCCTCCTACCTGCTCGCCTGCTCCTCCTCCCGTGAGTGTGTTCCTCCTACCCGCCTCGCCCCCCTTCACGTCCGCCTTCCCTCCCCAGGAGAAGGAGGAGGAGAAGGAGGAGAAGGAGGAGGGCGCGAAGCCGGGAAAGTGAGGAGGGAGGAGGGAGAGGAGGGAGGAGGAAAGAAAGGGATGCGGAAGGATAGAGGGAGGAGGAGGAGGAGGAGGAGGAGGAGGAGGAGGAG